CACACACACACACACACACACACACACACACACACACACACACACACACACACACACACACACTTTGTCATACACTCAGAAAGATCAATACTGATTAGGGGGACTTAGAGATTTGTTTAGTTGATTAGAAAGGTCAATTACTAATTTTGCACTAAGTTAATCAGCATCTTGTTACGACTGCCATCCATACTAAATGACACCTTATGGATTCTGCAGAGCATCGCCTTGCCCTGTTGATTTGTTGCCATCTAATTATCATTTAGCTCTGACTGGTCAGCCTAAAATGGTTTTGTAAACAGCAACAACAAAAATGCACAATATGCCTTCATTTAATTTATAATTCCCTCTTTAACCACAATATCAAAGGCCTCTTGTTGTGGTTTTAGGTCATGTTCGGGACAGAGCAACAGTGGAGATTAACCTATATTTTCAACAGCTAAATGTGTCAGGCAGCGACTCCAAATGTTGCCCACCGTCCTAATCTGAACAGAGAGCACCAGAAGCTGGTGGTGCAGCCCAAAAGCTCCTGCAATTTTATGCTTCACACTGGTAAATCTTTTTCATTTGGCAACTCCCMGGTGGATCAAATGCAAATGCAGAGGAAACGTGGTGGTGTAACATCTTACTTTCCTCTCCTTTATGGCAACTGATCTGKGTGTCATTCTTACAGCCCTCACCATTGCTCCCCTGTGGATAAAATGAGAGTAATCATCACTCTGTCTCTCAAACCCTCCACCCCTCCCTCTCCAAATGGCAGGCTCCTGCTGCTAGACCCCCCACCCCCCTTAGCTGCTTAGACAGATGACCAGCCGGGTTAACCGGAGTCCTGGACCGGCGCTGACTGCTCCAATTCACTTTCATTAAGAGTTAAGAGGACATATCTGATCCCCACTGCTCATGTCTGTGTGCTGCTCGGCTATTACGGGATGTAAGCTTTATTTAATGAATTTAACATCCACTTTCACTACCCTCGTCCCCGGGGGCCAGTGGAGAAACAGAGGAGATGACACACACAAACACTCAGGCATGGAAACACTTCAAGGCACACATATTCATCTGACGCAGCCGTCCCGACACCCCCGCCTTGCAACACATACACCTGACGCTCATGTTTGTGTTCAAAATTCAATTACCCACTTATTGATACTTCACGGGGATATTTAAGATGCAGACACGAGCTGTGATTTCCCAGGRGAGCCACTGGTTCCTCTTTATGTCCCAACCGAGAAGACCCACCCCTCCTCCTCCTCCTCCAATGCATTTTCGCCTGGCTGACACACACACACACACGCCAAAACAAACACATCCTCACTTCCCAACCCCTGCCCCAGCCTATGCCTGTTCAAGAGGTGTCCTTATTAATAGGCAATCAGTCAAAAATCATTCATTAAAAAGCCTAAAAGGTTTTACACCCGCGCCATGATTAGCTGGGAAAGAAAATCCAATGAATTCCTAATGCCTTTATGGAAATGAGATGTCATTTCCGATCTGCTCAGGGAGGCGGCAGCAGGCAAGACTAAGGAGCAGTGAGAGTGGGTGTTCAGCTCTGCATCCTCTTTCACACAGCTCTCCAAAAACTGATCCTGAACAAACACTCACACAGAATGATCTATTTTAGAACCATTTTAAAGCAATTAGGATATTAAAATTAGCCGAACCGGCTAAGCCTTTAGTTTCACTTTGTGTCATCTCGAAGGAAATGAAGAGTTACCTTCCCATTCAGTGCTGCTTCGAGGCTAAGGAGACTCACGGGAAACAAGGATACACGAGCAAAGTAACAGTGGAGGTGAGGAGGAGGTGGGGAGCGTTGGTGGGGAGGCACACCCTGTTCCTCATTCAGCTGCTGTCAGCTCAGGCACTTCATAACTGGCCGGCCTGCAGTCAGCCCGCCTTGATGGATTGATGGAGGCACATTAGCACGAATGGGGCCCGGTGAATGCAATCATATTCAGCAGCGGCATGCCTCTAATAGGCTGGAGATTGATCCTGAGGGTGAGGAGGAGGTGATAGTGAACGCAGGCCCATTAGGAGCTGTCAGGGATGGGTGCCCTTCAGTCTCACCTTCACTCAGACAGATGCAACAGGGGTCACACACTGGGTCTGTGCTGGGTGGGATTATAACAGGAGAGGTGATCCAGAACGTTGAAACAGCCACAACAGGTGGTCTCAGAATACACTGAGTGACACTTTTAGCTACATACCAAAGGTTTTTAATATAGGAATATGGCCATCTTCCACGTGTTGTTTATCTCACACTACCTTCGGTGTGGATCACTTTTATACCGCAGAAAAGAGGCTCATAGCTTTGAATACAACTACCGGTAATTTTTTTGAAGAAAATTTGTTGCACAGATTTTCTCGAATATGTTCAAATTTCAAGTAACAAGACTGTAAAGCCTCTGCAACTCACTAAAGGAAAATGAGAACTCCCGCACAAACATTTAGAGAAAATTTGGAAATTCCCTTGTAAATGTTTGCAAAGTAGTCGCCAATACTGGTTTAGGGGACAGAACACCAAAGGCATTTTTGCATTGTCAGGCTTGGCTCAGTCAGCTCAGACTTATTCGAACCCAGCTCTGGTTGTGTTTGCATTGAGCAGAGTGCCATCTCATTATGGGCAAGGTCATAATATTAAACATGTGAAAAATCTTATTCCATTTGTGACACAACCATAATGGACTACACAAAACTGAAGGCAGTACCAGACCAACCAGCAGTATGATGCTTAAGATGAGAGGGCAGAAAGACAGAAAACTGTAAGCTAATGGTAGCTAAATGCTGTTTGATAGCTCGCTACTTTTGTGTAGTCAAACCAGTGTGAAAAAAAACATTACAGTTGCTGCAAACTATTCACATAAAGTTACTCTCATCTGTATGACGTAACCCTCCTGGTCAATGAACCAATCAATGAGCAGAAGTAGCTGAYGGCAAATCAAGCCGGGCAGCCCAGAGAGAACCACGGGTCTTGAGGTTCTACAAATAAGGGTGGAAATGGGCTGTAATGGCTAACGCAAACACGCTGAGCCCAGGTTTGAAGCCAGGCTGGCCCGGGTCGGGCCTTGCAGCACAATGCCTAAAATGACAAGGTATTTGTGGAACTTTCTCAAACACTTTACTTTGCAAATTATTGCACACCGAATGAGTCACGTTCAACTCTTCTTGCCCAAATCACAGAAGACTCTACAGATCTTTACTTGCCAGAAGCGAATGGCTCCTTTCCAATTGAAATTACCATTGCTCTACTGACTGAATTAAAATTAGTAGCAAATCATAACTGTTGCTTTAACATCAAGCCTAGTCTGAAAGCTTGCATTTAACTCAAAACAGACAAAACAAACAAACTAAACAAAACATAAAAAAGTTATTCTGAAATTAATGAGTCAATTTTGGATCTCCTCGAAAAATTTAATTGGGATTCTTAGGATATTTTTAGATTTTTTGCCCACAGCTAACAAAAACTATTTTAAAATGGCAGCAATTTTGTTCACAAGGTTTCCCAGCTACCATAAATAACATTAATTTACAATGCAAATGGGGTACAAAGCTTTCAGCTGGATTGTGATTTTTTTTCCTCTACATTTTACTTTTCAGAATAAAGTTAGTTTATAGTAGATAGTAATCTACAATGTCTTTAAAGGAAAAGCACATCGAAGGGAGTTAAATGCTAGTCAGCAGTCTAAATCCCACAAGTGTGAAAATGCCAAAATCAGTGACTCTGCAGCCACCTAACCAGTCATCTCAGTAGCTGAGGCCCTTCAGTGAATCCCACAGGAACACTCAGCTTTCAATTACCTCCAATAGCAGCACTTATCAGACTGCTTCCCTTTCCCCAGAGGTTTGAGGCTTGATGCCCACGCTCACACCCACGACTGAGGCACTCATCATGGGGCGGAGTAACAGCTGGGGCCTGAAGAGGAGGCACGCGCCAAGTCCCTCTGGGACTGACTGGACCAGCGTCTCACCACGACATTAGGWGCTGCTGGTGAAAGGACAGCTGTGTGCTGCATCCTTCCTCCCTTCACAGTTGTGTTTACGCTTATATACGAAGACAAACGCTCATTAAAAAAAAGGCAGGAACCTGCATTAGTAGYGCGCAAATTCATTTTCTCACTGCAGTGTGGCGGCTGAGTTTTCACTGCTTGATTGTGCTTTGCCCATTAACCAGCTCCCTCTTTAATGATCCACATGTTATAGGGGGGAGGGGCAGTAAATCCTGTCCTCTGCGGAGTATGTTTACGGGCAGTGAAGAGTGCACAAACATGATGAAAAAGTAGCTGAGATTTACAGGGCCTCYCCTGACAGCCAGGAAAAGGAGAAAATTAAACCAGAGAGCATTAAACAGGCACCGATTACAGGGCTGCTCTGACACCAATAATAACCATCATTGTGTCCCGTCATCCCGAGGTGCATGACCTGACTGCAAAGCCTGCAGTCCTGCACCTCTGACAGCTAACAACTTCATGCCAAAAACATTACACTCTTCTTCAGTTTGAGACAAGTCAAAACAAACCAAATCGGGTTTTAACTAAATAAAATTGCAACATGAAACTCATTTAAACAAATGTGGTTTCTAATTTAGGTTATACCACTATAGCAGATCTGTGAAATTCAAATCACTCAGGAATCCAATTTAATGACCTTTTTAGATAATTAAACGCTTCCCACTAATGCAACTATAACGTTTAAAAAAAGCCTTTCCAAACTGTTATAGTGGATTTATCTAAGCATAGGTATTTTAGTAGAGCATGTACAACCTTTCTTGCAGTTTATTCTCAGATTACTTTGCAGTCATAATAATGAACTCTTTGTAAACTTACCTGAGACAGAGAGCAAGCCTTTTAAATTAACTTAAATCACACTGAAGAAAAAGCTGCAAGTACGATAATTCTTCACTTGTGTATTTGCACTAGAAAAATTTACACCCCTTTTATTCTTTTTAGATTAATATCAGCATTTAGCTACCTCTCTCTAATCCACACTCTAGATGGATTATGACAATAGAGGGGGGATGGATTAAATAAGTAGATTGCACATCCATCAAATTCTTGAGCATTTTTTGCATGAGCTCTTTTTGGCTTGCACTTCTTACCTTTTGCATTCAACAAGATTGCTCTGTGTTAAAATCCTCGAGGTCACCTTTTATTATCATTTTTTCTTTAGGACCATATCTAGTCTGTTTTGTTGGATAGCATAAGGTCAATCTGTTTTAAACGTGAACAAAATCAAGGCTGCTGTGAAATCTGCAATAAAATTCAGCATTGAAAAGTCTGAGTGGACAGTTAGCACCATCTAGTGGTGATTAACAATAACACATCCGTTTCACAAAAAAGCTCCTTCACTTTGTCAGTCATGAATGAGATGACCAGTAAAATCAAATAACAAGAACATCTTAAAGCACCCTTTTCTGTACTTACACTCCTCTAAACCCAGTTGATAAGCAAGGTTTTGCAATCCTTTSACCTTCTCCATCAGGTTGGCTGTGGTGAGACTCCCGAGCTCTGCAGAGGGATTGCACGGCATATATTAAAAATGTCTACCTACGTACAGCTAAACCCAACTAAATCTGAATCTTCTTGGCAGGATTGTAGATTTCTGTCAACACAAAATGCTGCAACTACTCATACATTTTAAAAAAAGTAACAAACCTTTTAACATTTCAATGTCCTCACTCTCTAATTCAGCCATCCACTTAGGAGGTGAGTTTGGGATAGGCTGCAATAGGACCAAAAATAAATAAATAAATAAATAAATAAATAAATAAATAAATATCAGCAGGCAAC